ACAATGTTCTATCAAGAAGATAAAATGCTCAAGATAATCAAATTTGGGCGAAATTGATTTAAATGGTAGGTTACTGTTTTTTTTATTGGGAATATGCCACAAGTTTTCTTTACAATAATTGTAATATAACATTTTGATTTCCATTTCGGAAATCGTTTTATATAAATAAAATTTATTAATGTTTCGTATTTTAAGTACGATTTCCGAACTAAAAATCTAAACATCAAAATAATTTCCCAATATGAAATAATAAACATTTAAACATGCATACAATAACGCCAAATTAAAAAATATTCATACACTAATTTATTTGGCAACGTCTAGTCTAGTCTAGTCTGGTCAAAAGATCGAGTAACGAGAAGTAGAGGTGGGTCGTGCTAGTTTATCATTAAGAGCGTAGGAGCAAAATTTCTGTTAAAATGTTATTTCTTTAAACGGCCGTAAAATTTGGGAAAGTTGAGAACAAATAATCCAGTGTTCTTTATTTAGATTAGGTTTAAGTCTAAGTCTGTATTATTTAATACCAATGTGGAACGGGTTGCCTCTTCTAACTCGGTCATTCTTTTTAACATGTAATAGGTGAAGTTCTACCTAGTTTCCACGTCTTGGATTGGCCGTTTGGGAACTGTGTTCTGTTGTAATTAATACTTTAAAAGCCTTTCTGAAGATAAGGTACTTTTTTGAAATGTTTTTTTTGCAGAATTGTCGAAAAAAGGACTTTTTATTTTATCTATTTGTACACGACAGCATTTAAGTGCGTCCCCCACCAATAAATTTAATCATCATCATAAATCACAGTCATCATAAAACAAAACATATTTAATAGCTTTGACCATATTTTAGGAATTATCAGTTACTGCAAAATTTACTTTTCGTTTTAGACCCGACTGATTAATAATTTCAGTAATCGCTGTTTTCTGGATTATGGTTTCCAGAAAAATGGCAGCAGCCTAATAAAAAAGTTTTGAATACTAAATTTTCGGTTAAATATTGTCCTGTTAATGCGAAGTAACTCTCAGTTACTCCAGATGTCCAGAGGTCAGTAGTAATACAGATATTTTCTACTTCTTTAACAACTTGCGATCTAATAATTTGCTCACTTTTGACATAACATTCCTGAAGTAATGAACCTGACAAAGTTTTTCTTGTTGGCGGTTTATATCCAGGAATCCATCCTGCAAACTTTTTAAAAGCTGGTTCTTTAACTATGGAAAACGGATGAAACGAAAAGTTTAGTAAATCTTGAAAATCAATCAGTCCAAGAAAAAGAAACTGATAAAGATGACTTAAGTCCATGGTGTATTTTTGATGAATTAATTGGACATGACTCATCTAAACATACACCTGTATCGAGAGGTATAAAAGAAGTCGACATGTAATTGTCTGATGATATATTACCCACAAACAATTTCGAACGGAGATTGGAACTGTCCATTACCGTGGTGAAAAAACCATCGCCATGTATATCGTAACTTAACCACTATATTCATAAAATGTTGTAGTATTGTAACAAAATCTTTTCCTTATGAACACATGTTTAACATCTGGTATAATTTTAAATAAAAGAAGAACGCGATTAACAAGAAAAGTGGAAAAACTAATGTTTTTAAATGTCAATTTAGACGATTCGCGATTTAATAATGTGTAATGTAAATGTAACTATTTAAGTACCATTTGTATTATTTAATTTATTTTTCAAGTTACAATAAATATATCCTTCGTTAGGTTCTTTTATTTCAATACTTATACACATAAACGATAATAGCTAATATGTTTGTGTACTCGCTAATTTGAATACTGGTAAACAATCAACTAGTTACAGTTTACGAAAAATGGTTCCGATAAAAATTAAAAAAACGAGAAGACCCACCTCTAGTTTTTTAGGTATATTAGGATCGGAACCAGAGAATATCTGATCGGAACTAATCGTCTCACTAATGGGCAATGGCCAATGAGTGTTAAAAGAATTTTAGGAGGGGAGACGAAGGGGAAATATGATTGTTATCTTTGTCTAATTCGTTGAAAATATGATTTTATATCTGCGTTAGATATCCTGTTAAATTTTACCATACCGACCTTAAAATTTTACCTACACTGTATATATATATATATATATACAAAGAGTTAGTCAACACAGTTTAGTATTGATATACGGAAATAAATGTTATCTTTAAAGTTTAAAAACAAACTTTTTAAGTGTTGTATCTAATATATAAATAAATATAATACAGACCTGTCTAGTTTTGTTGGGAATACTTCATAAAACGGTCTCTGTTAATCCAGAATAATAAGCTTGGATAAAACCCACAATGGCTTATATACTGTAAAGACGGCACAGATAAACTGTTTATTAAACAGAATAATATATGAATAAAACTTGTTGCAAGTACGTTAATAAAAATTTGGTTAAACAAAAATTGGATTTAATTATCCCCCTACTCTTTATCATACATCATAAACAATATCACATACGTTGATTGATAACCTGTAATAAACATGTGGTAAATATCTCAGTTGATGCCGAAGCGCTGAAAATTTTTATTGTTCGGCTAGGATTTATCTAGCTGCTCTTTGTGTCTATACTCTGATTAACAAAGATAAGATAGACGTACTAAGACTACTATATTTTATTTGCGATTAATCATTCAAGTCTTTAATACCATCAAGTGACGACGATCAAGGCGATTAAACAATGACGGGGAAAGAAAATAATGGTACGTACTTTCTAAATACTTTTTATTTGGAAAACTAGAACATAGGGAACCTATATAGATCCACATGTTATGTTTAGTTGCCAAAAATTAGAAATATTATTATAATATCATAGTATTTTTGGAGAACTGCTTTACTTTTTCAATATTATATAAGATTTTTTGTCTTAATTTTTTATTATACATTGTTGTCATGAACTTATACTAAGCTTGTTTCAATAAAAACCGAGCATTTAGCTACAGTTTGTCGAACGTACTTTTAAAAATTATTTTCTCTAAAATCTTCTGTTTAAGGTTTTAGATTGTTGAGGAAAGTTTATATTCGGTTTTCGAGAGTGCGTTTTTCGTTACACAGATTCGAATAGTTTTAACAATTGGAATTGATCTGTACTATTTATTATAATAAAAATTGTACCCACTACTTCTTATTGTGCTGTCTTCTAAGGAAGGTTGACGACTACTTCTTTAAACGATTTCCTATCTTTTGCAAGGTGAAATATCTGTTTAACACTGAGTACCTACTACTATTAGTTGTTATATCGTGACACTGTATATACAATATGTATATAAGATTTTTTAACAATAGTATGTATAAACACGAAAGCCATAAATGATATACACATAAACTTGAATTTACATAACACCCGTACTGATTACGGATGTATCTTACAGAGAAAGTACACTGTCGTAAAGCGCTGAAAGGTGGAAAACTGAACATTTAGTCCAGGGAAATAAGATTTTTTTCGTGATACATACTCCTCCAGGAAAACAACAGTTGTTTTGACTAATGTTATAGTTGTGTAGTTCTGGAGCTCTACAACAAGAACCAATATGTTTCCTGCAGTCGATCAGCAAAAAGTGAAGCATTTAAAACAAATTTGAGACTAAGAAACTTATAAGCTGTTTAAAAAACTTTAAAACTTCGTTTTTGTATCCTTATATATGTTGCTTAGAAAATTGAAACCAATTTTTTCGCAACAATAAAAGTCAGAAAATAGTAAAGTCACGGATATTTTATAAAATAACAAGATTTTTTAGTCTATTAATATTATTATTTAAAAAAAAATTAATGTTGCAAAATTATTTAACAAAACCATCGATTTTTTGCATATAAATAATTAGAGTAACTTTTAAGGTATTTTCTAAAGGCAAATTATTTTTTCATATTAGGAAAGCATGCATTTTTTTACAAATTGAGAAAAGAAAAAGTTGTCCTAGGACAATTTGGAATGAAGTTAGTTTCTTTTTTAATTTACATCAGCCTTATTTGTAACAATTAGGAGTTCTAACTAGCGTTATTAAAATAATATAAGAATTAACTTTAAATTTTTAATGTAGAGAGATTCAAAACATGGTTCTCAAAATCTGCCGAATTTGAAACTCACTTGAGCGTGGAAGAAGGAACGAACAGTTAAGTGTATCTCTTCTTCTTCAAGTTCCATCTCTATCGAAGGTTGGAAATCATCATGGCTATGCGGACTCTGTTGACTGCCGCTCTAAAAAGTTCTGCACTACTGCATTCAAACCATTCCCTTAAGTTCTTAAGCCAGGATATTCTTCGTCTTCCCACATTTCGCTTTCCTCGGATTTTGCCCTGCATAATAAGTTGTAATAATGCGTATTTTTGCCCTCTCATCACATGTCCCAAGTACTCAAGTTTTCGTCTTTTAATAGTTAATATTATTTCCGCCTCATTTCCTATCCTTCTAGTTACTTCCATGTTTGACATTCTTTGAATCCATGATATTCGTAGGATTCTTCTGTAACACCAAAATTCAAAGGCGGCCAGCTTATTCAGATGAACTTGTTTTAGTGTCCAAGCTTCCAGACCATAAAGAAGAGTAGAGAACACGTAACATCGAAGCATTCTCAGGCGTAGTTCTAACCTTATATCCCGACAACAAAGAAACTTTTTAAGTTTAATAAATGATGTACGTGCTATTTCAATACGTGTCTTAATTTCTTTGGTTTGGTCTACATCTGATGTTATCCATGTTCCTAAATATTTATAGTTATTAACATTCTCAATTGCAGTATCTTCAATAGTCAATTGGATATTTGCATGTGCAGATTTAGTCATGATCATGCATTTAGTTTTCTTTAAATTTATCTTCAGTCCGTACTCATGACAGCGTTCATTAAGGCGTTGCATTAGGTTCTGTAAATCATTGTTGTTATCCGTAATTATTACTGTATCGTCTGCAAAACGTAAGTTATTCAAAACTTCTCCATTGATAGATATACCTTCTATTGAGTCTGAGAGCGCTTCTTGAAATACCGCTTCACTGTAGACATTGAAAAGTAGTGGGGACAGCACGCAACCCTGGCGGACTCCTCTCTGTATTTTGATATTTTCGGTGTACTGGCTGTCAACTCTTACCTTGGCAGTTTGATTCCAATATAAATTAGATATAATTTTCAGATCACGACTGTCAATATTTTTGCTTTTTAATATATCTACAAGCTTTTTATGTTGAACTTTATCAAATGCCTTTTCAAAGTCTACAAAACATAAGTACATATCCTGATTCATGTCCATGTATCTCTGAGCCAGTACATTCAAGCCGAACAAAGCATCTCTTGTACTCATACCATTTCTAAAGCCAAATTGTGTGTCACTAATCTCATATTCAAGAGTTTTAACAATTCTGCTGTGAATTATTTTCAAAAATGTTTTAAGTGTGTGACTCATTAAAGCTATTGTTCTGTGGTCTGAGCAAGTTGTTGAACTTGGTTTTTTGGGAATTGCTACAAAGGTTGATTGCAGCCATTGTCTGGGGATTGTGGCAGTCTGATATATTAGATTATAATAGATTAAAGAGTTCAACCATTACATCAATAACATAAGTGTATCTCTGGTTATTGTTTATGGATTTTGACGATTCTCTTTTTAATTTGTATGTACTTTTGCGTAAATTAGAAATATGCATTATTTAAATAAATAAATTATTAAATAAATGGTTAAATAAATGTTTGAAATGGTTGAAATGCTTAAAATATCATGGACGGACAGGTTCAGAAATGAAGAAGTACTCAGAAGAGCGAGCTTGCAGGATAGGGAACTTTTTAGTTATGTAAAAAGTAAGAAGACTGCATACTTGGGACACATAATACGAATATAAAGATACACTTTCCAGCAACTGATACTCGAAGGGAAGATAAAGGGTAGAGAGTCCTGGAGTAAAACATCGTCCATTGTCGCAATATTCGACAATGGACAGGAATCCACAGCTATGGAATGCTTCGCAATGCTGCTAAAAACAGAATTATTTAATCCTGACTATTTAACATCTCACCTGACAAGACGATGTACGGTGGACGCCGTGGCAGAAATGCAAGGTTCCTTAAGAAGAAGAAATAAACCGTCCAATTTGGTTAAACATTTTTTTTTCAATTTTTTCTTATGTTTTAGAAATATTTGAGTTAGAATTTATTGTAAAACATAAAAAATTTATGATTCATATATACTTCTTTAATAAACTTTGTAAATAATGTATTTGTAATAAATTTTATAAAGAAATATTCCTATTCAGGTATTTCTAAAAATAATTGTTCTTTATTTATTGCTTTGGAAATAAAAAATCTCAATAAAATAGGTTTTATTTCTTGCTAAACATGCCATTACATGAGTAAAAAAATTTAATATTATTTGACCTATATTGTTACAAAAAAATTTAAATTGGGATAAACAAATAAAATAACTTTTAAACTATTTGACCTAACGCTTTAAAATTTTGACCAATATTTTCAGCACTACATTGCATGTAATATGGAGGTTCCGAATTTATTTTTAAAAAGGTTATTATTATTTATAAAAATCTTATTATGGCTTATTATTATATAAAATTATATTTATTATAAAAAGTTCTCTTGCAAATTTTTAAGCAACAAATAATGATAGAAACTTAAAAAACGCCATTTTAAAAATTTTTCTATGACATAAGGTTCTTACCCTCAAATTTCTTTCAAATGCTTTATTTTTTGCCATTTTTTTTCTTTTAATATTCGTTATTAACTTATATAATATAATATAATTTCGTCGTTATAATGATGGACAAGCTTATTTGGGTATTAAGTTAGGTATCCAAAGTTTCCTTTCAATCTTAACTAAGATTTTTAGGTTAGACTATTAACTAGACTAATTTTCTATGTTAATTTATGTTAGTTGTTAATCTATCTATCTAATTAGCCTTCTTCGGTCCATCTTTGGACATAGGCCTCCCCAATCCTTTTCCATTCTTCTCTGTCTGTCGCTACAGTCATCCATCTAGAGCCCACGTGCTTCTTGATATCATCTGCCCATCTCATTTGGGGCCTTCCTCTGCTTCGTTTATATTCCCACGGTCTCCAACTTATAAGAATTTTGTTCCATCGGTCTTCGTTTTGTCTTATATTGTGTCCGGCAAATCTCCATTTCAATTTTGCAACTTCTTGTCTAACATCCCTCACTTTTGTTTTCTCTCTTATCCACTCGTTTCTCTTCTTATCCATTAGTCTTATGTGCAACATTTGTCTTTCCATTGCTCTTTGGGTTTTTATGATTTTGTCCATGTTTGCTTTTGTAAATGTCCACGTTTGGGAACCATAAGTAAGAACAGGGAGTACGCATTGATTATATACTTTGGTCTTAAGATGCTGTGGATATCTTTTGTTTTTAAGAATGTAGCTTAGTTTGCCAAATGCCGCCCATGCCAGTCTAACTCGTCTCTTGATCTCTGCTGTTTGGTTCTCTTTGTTAAGTTTTATAGTTTGACCAAGATATATATATATTATATATATATATATATATATATATATATATTATATAATATATTATATATATATATAATCCATAACTTGTTCTATTTCATCTTGTCCGATTCTCATTATGATGTCTTCATCTGTATTTGTTATAGTTTTGGTCTTGCTGTAAGTTCATATTAAGGCCTATCTTTCCAGCTTCTACGTCCAGTTCTTTCATCATTTCAAATAATTCTTCTTTTTTATCGGTTATCAATACGATG